GGGTGGGAAAAGAGGAAGTAGATGACCGTTACAAGTCTGAGTCTCTCTGACCCACATATTGGACCGTTGCTATGTGGGACCCTGCTTTATTAATAAAAATATAATTCTTTAAATCGGAGAAATAATGGGCCGCATTAAACCCAATTATTATGGGTCCAGTAATATTTGTCACGTGTACAGGCCGAAATCAAATAATTATTTTACTGAAAAGACACGTGTACGGTCAACAAAAAATGGCAGAAGTAAGGCGGTAGATTTCTACTTAAGATTGGCGGCCAAAAAAGTTTGAAATGAAATCACAGCAAAAAAATGACCCAAAGGCCCATTTGTTCGGCCTTTGATACTACACTACTACTATAAAAAGGTTATAGGTTATTTGAATGTAACTGGGGATAAGAAGGTAAGTTCAGAAGATAAACTACTGACATACAAACTCTAGGAGATTAGCTTTTAAAGAACTTGTTGCTATATAGTTCCAAAACTGTTGTTAGTGTATTGGATATTTGAATGGAATACTACTTTTTATTCGCTGGTAACTACTGAAATACAAGTTCTAGGAGATTAGTTTTTAGAGATCTTCTTGCGATACACTTTGAAAATTGTTGTAATTGTGTATTCACTTTTATATGTACCCTATCACTCACTCTCCTGGTGCAAGAACTGGCTTGGACCTAAAATAAATATAACATTAGCGCCTCAGGTATATTCTCTACCGGAATATATAGCTTTAGTAGTAAGCTTCTTAAAAGTTCTACAACATTTTTTATGTGAATTACATCAAATGTTTTTAGTTTCTAAGAGTATTATATCACTTATCAGAAATGTATTATATATATCACTCAAGCTAAAAAGAGCTCTTGTTTCAAATACAACAGCAGCACACGATGGAAGTGATGTTCGAGTAAAGCTGAATGTTGAGCATCGGTATGGATCGCACATCAACACACCAAACATGAGAATCACCAAGAGTCTAATACATTACCTTCTTTGAAGACTGTGAAAGCATTCTAGGAAAGAAAACTGCAATTTGGGAGCTTGATAAAGGTTAATAATAATTTAACATTTCTTTGTATTTTCAACACTTCTCATATATATGTTCCCTTAGTGTCCTGTCTTTATTTCTGTGCAACAAATCATTGGAACATTGTTAAATCGCCGATTTTGATGTGAGAGTTACGGCTTCAAATGTGGCATGATATTCCACCTGTCCCAACGAACAAATTTGTCACCAAAGGTAAAAAAAAATACAACAAAATGTCTTTGTTTCTTTTGGGAAGACCGTTTATGTTATCATTTATCCACAAAACTAACCATTTCACAGTTAAGCGTGGACCTCTAAGAGAGGTAGATTGCTACTGGGATTTCGAAAAATCCCAATGTGCTTTCCCATATTACTATGAATACAGGTCCATTTGATCCTTCTATTTCCAGAAGAAATCTAAAATTCTTATATACTCTCTCTAATAAACATTATTGCAAAAAAAAAAATCTCAATGCAGCTATATTTCTCAAGGACGGTCTCTTTACGGAGATATTCACGTAGGCCAAAGGTGTAAATTGAGGAACACATGTGCTGAGTTGCTCTTGGAGTATCTGTAGATAAGTTTTCACAAGTGTAATCTTCTTTCAAGTCAAGTTACTTCTCTATTTCCTTCTTTTTTGAAGTAATTTGAGTCTTCTAAAAAATTGAGTCTCTTCTGATCTTCTTTTTCCAATTTTCAACTTCTGTTCTACTATGTAAATAGCCACATGAGACTTACCTTTCTCTGGAAGCTAAAAGGTTCGTATTGACTCCGAAGATTCTTTAAGGCGGCTTCAGAATTATTAAGGAATCTCAAAATTCTCTTGGGGCCGTCCAATAAGGTACCAATATTAGGTCCTTTTTTCCTCTTAATTACAACCAAATATTGAATAAATCATAGCATCTCTAGTGTACTTTCTGTTATGTTTTTTGGTTGAAATTTCAGTTCTAGAAAAGATAGGATATTGGGTTGACAAAAAAAAAAGAGAGATTAGAATATTGTTGGCACATAAGGAAGAAGATTAGGATTTTAATAATTAAGAAACATAAGTCTACGCAATGGACTAAGCCAACTATTTATTTATGCGCGTCCAACGTTAAGGGCGTTAAACAAGCCATCAGCAAGACGCGTTACATTTAGC